TTCTTATGTTGAGTCTGTATGTAAGTGAGAACGGGCAGTCAGTTTCAGCAGCGGCTGAATCTGGACGCCAGTTCCAACTTACATACAGATTCAACTTAACAGCAAACCTACAGTCCCTATCTTGTACGTAACCCGGGGACTGCCTGTATATCAGGGTGGGCAATAGGGATGTTAACAGATAATCAGTTAATGGGTGATTCTTAATGGGTAATGGTTAACCAGTACCTCAGAAGCCAGCCAGCAGTCCTGTGTGGGTGCCGGAAGTGGGGGGCCACACCACCCTGGCTGTGGTAGGTGGGTGGGGGGCTGAGCTGGAGCAGATCTTAATGTTTTGATGTTAAACAGTTAAACTTAATATTTAGCCAGTTAACTAATGAAATGGGATTTTACATTCCTAGTAGGTAATAATTTTTGATGGGGGGGCCACTCCAAGATTTTGGTAAGTGGTCATTGTTGTGCTTTTCTGTGGAGAAGGTATGGCGTGGGGATGGAGTTTAGGTGCAGAAGGGAACTCGAGGTGGAGTATTGGGGTGCAAGAGAGGGGGTGGGATCTGAGAGGAAGTTTGGGTGAAGGAAGGTGTTGTGACCTTGGGTACGGGATTGGGGTGCAGGGTCCAGGAAGGAATATGGGTGCAGGAGAGGATTCTGGCCTGGGGAAGGAGTGTAGGAGGAAGTGCAAGATCTGGAAGGGAGTTGTGACCTGAGGAATGTGTGCAGAGGGTTTGGGTGATGACCTGGGGCAGGGAGTTAAGGGGTAGGAGAGGGGGTAAGGTGCCAGATGCAGGCCCTGGCTGGGAGGTGCTTACTTAGGTCCAGCAGGACTCTCAGGAAGGCTCCAGCCAATGGAAGTCGAGATGATTGGGCAGGGGTGGGGACACCTTGCAAAATCTCCCCATTTGTCGGTATATGGTGCAGGAAGGCACATGAAGCAGCCACCTGCTCTGAGTGACTTAGGGCTGCATACATACATAAATATTTCATTATCATCACTAGTCTCCTTCCCACAATAATGCTAAATGTATCCATAGAACAGAAATAGTCCTAGCAGCTGCACTTCAGTGCAGATAACAAGGCAGTAAGGCAGTGCATTTCTGTACCAATGCACCTTACCTATGACTGGAAAGGATCATATGCAGGAGAAAAAAGAGTCTTCATTAGGTCCTAATGAAATCAAATCAAGAAATTGATTTGTGTCAATTACAGTACTAGTGGTGGTACTAGTCATTTAGATACTTGTACACTAGAAAAGAGACTGTGCAGCCATCAGACAACACTTTATTTTAGTAGTTACCACCTGGTTGTAGACCATTTGCTATGTCAATGTAACTCACCTGCTCAGCCTTCTGGTGAAATACAGCTGACATGGCTAGGATGGTACTACGCTCATCCAGAGCTGCAGCAAAGCTCTTCCATTCTTGATCCAGCTGGGTAGAGATTTGTTTAATTTGCTGGGAAGCATAATGGCCTGCCTCGGAAAGCCTGGATGCAACTGACATGATCCGATTGATGTTGACATAGGCATTCTGAAAATTAGAGAAAACATCCATGAATAAACAGAAGGGAGAAACAGCCATCCTGCTCCTTCATTACAAATTCAAAACATCATCAGCTGGAAGGATGCAGAGGAGCTGGGGTGAGAACAATCAAGCAGCCTTTTAATATGCATGAGTTGTAGTTTGTAGACATACTACGTTTCATTCTAAAAATAAATCCTCCAGGAATATTTTAGCACATCTACTCCAAAAACTCCACATCCATTCCCTCTTTCACACACATTTTATTTATTTAGGGAAAATCCTCTGCCATGCCTGAGAACTGTTACCCAATTAGCTTCTTCTTATTTCCCTTGTTCTTGGTATTTCAGATATATTCATTCACAATTCTTGGTGTCAATTATAATTGCAGAAATGATTACTTTAAAAGAGGGCACCTTAAAAGAGGGGTGCATTGTTAAGGGATGGGCTAATACAGGCAGTCCCCGGGTTATGTACAAGATAGGGACTGTAGGTTTGTTCTTAAGTTGAATCTGTATGTAAGTCGGAACTGGCATCCAGATTCAGCCGCTGCTGAAACTGATCAGTTTCAAC